GTGTGTGTATTTTGCATGTATTTATATAAGTAATAATACAATAACTTTTAATTAACTAATTTTTCTTAAAGTTTTATTGATGTGAAATTGCTTTTCGTAAATTTTGAAATGTTTGTCCCATATGTATGTATGTATGCTTTTTTTTTAACTAGGACTGTCAATGCATATTTTATATTTTATAATAATTGTAAAAGTATTTAAATAAATATGTATGCGTATTATCTTTCATAATTTATTACCATCTTCGATTTCATTCTCCATTTCTCAGGCCCTCTGCCAGCAAAGCAATAAGGAAATTATAAGTAAATACATACATATATTTTATGTAAGAATTTCCTCATAAACTTATGTGTTTCGTAAGATCCAAATATAAATATGTTTAATGTAAGTTTTTTATCAAAAGTTATATTTATACGAAAATAAGTTATATTTGAAAATTATTCATACGTTATACACATATTATTTAAATATAAAAATGTATGTATGTATACATATGCCAATTAGTTTCAAAACTTTACATCTTCTCAATTTGGCTTTTGTGGCAATAACAAATAGTTTTATATAATTTCTTATTAAAATATATGTGATTATCATAAATGTAGTAGATTATTAAGCGATTTCTTTTATAGTGTGTCGCAAAATTAATTTTATTTTGGTTTATAAAAAGGTTTTTTGATTGCAATTAGCTTAACTAGGAAGTATCTTTTACCGACAAAAAATTTTTATATGTATTTTCTATTTTAATGTATTTTTTTTTTTATTTCGAATTGGCCAATGGAGTTATATTTAACAAATAATTAATTTCCTATCAATGAAACGTAATGAAATCATTTGTTTATAAAAAGTTTTGAACATTTTTAACAAAACGAAGTTATTTCAATTCAAGTTATACAAAATTTAAAAGAACATTTATTCTCTTCTGTTTAGGTTTTTTGTCATTGAACATAATTTTACTTTTAAAGGAACCCTGTTGGAAGGCCTTCGCGTGCTTGCATGAATTATTTTTTCCTCAGGTCAAAAATTTAATTAAGATACAGTTTAAATATTGAATATTAAGAGCAAAAAAAAATCCTAAAAGTGATTGCTTAAAAAAAAATCAAAGAAATTAAACAATTTGAAGAATCGAAAACTGTCCTAGAATAAAAGATTTAAAAACCGAAATTATTAAAGTTTTTTAAAAATTATTGCTTTTCAAAAAAATCTAAGAAAAAAAAATTTTTTAGAGAAAAACAAACGTAAAATTGTTTAGTCTGAAAAGTTTAAAACTATTTGAAAGTAAAGTCTTACAAGAATTTTATGTTGACCTTGAAGTCAAAAAATTCCGAAAGTTATTGAAGAATATGTATGTACTACGTATTTTCAATTAAAATTCCGGAAAAATTAAAAAATTGTTTATATTTTTGTAATTTTAATTGGGCCGTTTTTTTAAAGAAAAATGTTTGAAAGAAATAACAAAAAAAATTGTTTTGCATATACAAAAAAGTGAAAATTTGTATACCTGTAAAAGACATTTTTCTTTTATTTTTAGTGCGTAATTATCTAATAATAGTTTAAAAAATTATATTTTTAAAATTAAAAGTTTTCATATCTAACTTAAACCCAAATTTTCTTAATTGGAATTTTTTAATTTACTGGGTGTGAATTTTAAATATTGTTTACAAGTACTTGAATTTTAGCGTAATTTTTAGTCATTTAGTCATGAAAATCAATATGGTACTTTATTTTATTAAAAATATACTACTATTAAATAAAAATTTAATTATTTTGAATTTGGTTGAAAAATTTTTAATTAAATAATTTATCGAATATATAAAAATAATGCGAATACTATTTTATTTAAAAAAATTTGCTTTGAAAATTTTGTTTTTTCTTTCATACTAAATTTTTGCCGATTAAAAGTACCTTCAATAAATAAATTTATATATTTCCCTAAAACATAATTTCAATAAACTTTCTTTACTCAAAAATTTAATGTTAAAAAAATTTAAACCTAAAATGTAAAACTACAGATTTTCTGCTTTTTCAAGCACTAATGAAACTTAATTTTTTGCAATCATTTTTTTCTAATCTTAACCTCACTTTATTTTTGAGCTCGGTATGTTATATTGTATTTTTCGTATTAATTTCAAAATATAATCAATATCGCCTTCATTTGTCATTAAGAAAATCCAAATTTTGTTTTTTGGAAACTATTTTTTAATGATCTTCATTTCGAATGAATTTCCAAGTATTTATGTTTGCTCGTTTGAAGCAAACTGTAAACTCAAATTGCTGACAAAATATTATGTTTTCGAAAAATATCGATTTTTTTTTTTTATTTCTATAATTTTCAATACTAAATAAACCTACGCCAATTCGATATTAACATGATTTTAAAAATTCCGTAATTGAACTGTGATCAATAAAAGAACAAATTTCAATTTCCATACTTCACTTTTATTTAAATAAATTTTGAGACGATCAAAAAAATTCATAATTTTAACCAAAGTTATGCGGTAACAAACAAAAAAAAATAAAAATATTCCTTTTTTTGAAGTCGGTTAAAAATTAAGAAGCAGTTGAATTGTGGATTCCAACTTCAAAACTTTTAGATAAAAGATTTCTCGGA